CTTGCCACTTGGGCAAATAAATTTTCAAGACATCTCGAGCTTACTGATATTTGCCCTCTCTGTGGTGTGGAACGAGAAGACGGGTTCCATGCGTTGTGCAGGTGCCCTCTCGCCAGAGAATTATGGCATGCCATGGCCCAAGACTGGCCAATTCCAAAGGTGGAGAGTATCGCCAATGACGGACCGGAGTGGCTCTTCACTCTTCTGGATCCTCTCACGGACAGGGTGCGTATGGTGGTCCTCATGACAATGTGGCGGGTGTGGTATATCCGAAATGAAATTACACATGACAAGGTTCCTCCACCTACAGAAGTGTCCCGCAGGTTCCTTCATGGGTATATTAACTCTTTGCTTTGCATACGTCAATTCCCACAAGCTGATTTGGACAAGGGGAAAATGGTGCTGCATGATGAAGGACGCTACACCCATACAAAAACTGAGACACGGCCAGAACTACAGTGGGAAACCCCACCACCGGGCTGGGCAAAACTGAGCTCTGACGGGAGCTACGTCCCGGCCACCGGCGCAGCTGGCGGAGGCATGGTTCTGAGGGGTGCAGGAGGAGAGATCATGTTCACCGCTTGCAGAGAGATGCTCACATGTGGTAATAGCCTCCAAGCTGAGCTAGCTGCATGCAAGGAAGGCCTGATGTTGGCATTACAGCGGACTGACTTGCCCATCAAGGTAGAGCTAGATAGTGCTGAAGCGATCTCGATGCTGACGGCACAATCCGAGGATCGGTCACAGTTACTGAGTTCTTGTGGAGGAGATTCGTAGGATTGCAGCAGATGACTCCAGGGAGATTTCTTTTACCCATATTAGTCGTTCACAAAATAAAGTTAGTCATGTGTTCGCTGCGTATGGTCGTAGTACCCCACGCACAGCAGTTTGGTTGCGTTCGGGTTTGGATTTTATTGTAAACTTGTGTAAGGCTGATAAGCCTCCTTGAGTAATGAAAATCTTCCTTTCCCCCGCAAAAAAAAAGATGTGCTAGCTGAGAAAAAGTTTAATCCCTCAAAATTATTGAATTTTGAGGATAGGGAGAAGGTTTGGGAATTAAGTTTAAGTGAAATGCTACAGATGCTATTAGCTCTGATGGTTAGACTCATCAACCCCCCTTTAGCTCCCGCTAATGTGCCATTGCATACGGACGTGGTATATTGTGCCACATTAACCCTATTTCTTTTAGTTTGCTTTGTACTTCCTTCATCCAAAAATAAGTGTCTTTGATTTAGTATAATTTTGACATTTTCTCCTACTTCATCGATGAAAATTAGCTCCCAACTACTTATTCATCTCAAAAGAATTTAAAGGACTTAAGCTATGAAGGAACTACGAGAAGAGCAAGTCAAGCTCCTCCGTTGGCAACATTTGCCCTATTAGAGAAGCATCCTTCATTGCACCACTGAATATAAGTAGGGTCAATGTTATTTGAGGGATGAGCACATGCCTCTTTGCCCTTGCTTCAACTATATACTTTTTTTTGCGGGTGCTTCAACTATATACTTATTTGTGATGTATTTGAGAGAAACAATATACATGCAAGATTTTAAGAAAATTTACAAAGACTATGTACATATTTGAAAACAATATTTTCGTCCATCTAGAAAAATCAAAAGATTACGGAAACACTAACGCCCACACATGTGGGCGTTTGCATCCCGCCCACACGCGTGGATCCGCGTCCGTTTGTAGGTGCACGAATCTTGGCATGTTTGTGGTGCTACGTAGGACTGGGCTGGTGTGTGGGCATTCACCCGGTCGCCCACACGTTTGTTTCACCATACGGAGGGGCTGGTGTGTGGGCGTTTAGCAGTTCGCCCACACACCAGTTTTCACTCATGCACACGGGCTGGTGTGCAGGCATTTGCCATCTCGCCCACACGCCCGTTTTCTCTCCCACACCCAAGTTGCCAGTTGCCATGCGTTTTGCAGTGTACATGGCAACTGCCCTAGTGTGCTTGTAAGCAGATGGCAACTCTCTTTTTTTTTACCCGAACATGTCAGTTGCCATGTGTTTTGCAGGGTACACGGCAACTGCCCCAGTGTGCTTGTAAGCAGATGGCAACTCTCTCTTTTATCCGAACATGTTGTTTTGCCATGACTCTTTGTAGCGCTACACGGCAACTGCCTAGTGTTAGTAGGTGACAACTCCTAAGGTTTTCAAATCATGGCAACTGTAGTAAACCAGACCATACATGGCAACTGCTTCGTGTTAGTAGGTGGCAACCTCTAAAGTTTTCAAATCATGGCAACTATAGTAAACCAGACCATACATGGCAACAGCTGCAGTTGTCCAAAATGGCATCTGTCACTTGACCTGAGATGGCAACTGCAGTTGAGCAACCATGGCAACTGTAGTTGTCCGACATGACAACTGTAGTTTAGCGACATGGCAACTGCAGTTAAACGGACATTGAAGAGGGTCCGGACCATGGCAACTGCGGGGATGCGTGGTGACTGTCATGCGGGGCGTGCGGGACCTTGAGGTAGGTGGCTGAGAGAGATCGTGTGGGTGTTATGCATTTTGCCCACACGTAGGCATGTGAGAGGGGCCGTAAGAAAAAAACGAGACGTGTGGGCGCTAGTTGTTTTGCCCACACATAAGTGTGTGGGCTGGTCCTTTTAGACACCACACAAAATGTGCGGGCAAACCCCTTAATGCCTACACGTGTGGCAGTTATCGTCGTCCAAAGATTAAACCTCCTGATTGTTGGGCAATTAATTAGGCTTTGTTGAAACCCGTTATTCACTTCGTTTCTTCTCCGGAAAAAGGTCATGGAAGGCACATGTCCTCACACATGCGCACTGGTGTCGCCTTTCACCCTCCCTGCCCACTTGCTACAATAGCATTCCTCTCTCACCCTTGGTTTAGCTCGAATAAACTAGGAAAAATATGTCCAGCAGAATTAACTTATTAGCTCCATACAAAAGCTGAAAAAGGCTTCGGTCAATGAGTTCCAATCCTATGAATTTCCTTTTCTTCAGTACACAACACTACATGGACCGACTCCTCTAGCGATATTTTTCCTCTGGTTTTCCTCTGTGAGTTTTGGTACGTTTCCCCCTGGCTTTTAGGTGTTTCGTTACTTTTGCTCCAGGTTTCGACTACTTATCCTATTCATAACAAAAAGTTAAATTGGCCGAGCCTAAGATGGAGGGGATGTGCGCCGGTTGCAAAAAAAAAAAACTATAACAGGCGCTTAAGGCATCAAATAGGGGTTGGGACAGCGCCCCTGCCCCTGACACGATAAAAGCAAGACAAAAGAGCAGCCCAGCCCCAGTTTGTCTATATGACCGATTTAACACGGAACAAGCAACACTGCACAAATCTTGAAGCAACAATGACCTAATGGTCAAAGAGTTGACTATGACTTGGCTAAAACTCAGTGACTTAAGTTGTTCAGTTACGAGGGTCTGTCCATGCATGCTAAGATTGCACTTTCTGCTAATTAAGTATGGTTCAGATGGGAAGGTTCCTTGTGGTGGAACCGGTCCATCAGAATTCAAATCCTACACTTGGTACTTGTGCTTCCATTTTCCTAAAAGGAGAGATTCCTAGTGAGTACGAGGCATATGTGGTTGTTTCATTAACAATATTGTTAAGTCTCAGTTGACTAAGACTTTATTAAGTCTCAGTCGATGTTATATCTGTCGGATCTTACATTAAGATCCGTGCAAAAAAATCATTTTTTCTTTTTCTCTCTTACATGTTATGTCAATTGACTGAGACTTGGTTAAATCTCAGTCGACTGAGACCTAGCCACACTCTCTTCATTAATTTTAAGATGTTGTTCCGGTTTAATATCTCAGAGGTGTTTATAGGGATAACATGTGCATGTGGGTGTTCATAGCGGTGATGTGCATGTTTTTGAGCATTTGTACTACTACCTATGTCTGGTTTATTGGTCCCTTTCGTATTTTGTGTCCAACTTTGACCATAGGTTTGACTAACAAATTATAAATTATATGTCACAACACTTATATTGTTAGATTCATATTTAAAAAAGGTTTCCAATGATAGTATTTTTTGGGTCTATAACTTATTTTTTGATAGTTAAATCAAAGGTCAAAGTTGCACCCGCAACAAAAAAATGTTACTTTTTTCTTTTCTTTCGAAGACGTAGTCCGCCTCCGATAGATGTGAACGAGGTGGCCTTGTGCGGCCGGCGATCTATCGAGTTGGCTTGCCTGCCCCGATTACCATGCACAGCAAGCATCCTTTATTTTTATTTTCTTCACCTCCATAGCTAGCTTCCCTCCAAATCCATTTACCCCCCCCCCGCACAAAGATCCCTTAACCTTTCCTCACACATGACTCCATGAATGTAGCTACACGTCTTCTTACACATGAATGCATTCCAAGAACGTACGCCGGAGTAATCCATCCTAAGATTTCCTCCGTTTACAAGTTTCGATTCGAATAAACAATACATACTCTTACATCCATCACCATGCCATGCCAAGCACCTAAATATATACACGACGCATCATGCCAACCTTCCCAACTCAGCAGCTCACCTCCCTCGGTCACAGTTCACGACACCATCAACCGACCAATCCACCATCCATCGCAACGTCCACCACGATTCCCTGCCTACGCTTCCTCATGGCGGCCGCCACCAACACCAAGCCGAAGCGGCAGCATCCGGCACCGGTCGTGGACCCCAAGTTCGAATGGGCGGACAAGGCCGGCACCTACGTGCTCCGCCTCAGCCTCGAGGGGTTCAAGAAGGGCGACTTCAGGGTGCAGGTGGACGGCGCCGGCAGGCTCACCGTGAGCGGGGCGAGGCCGGGTGCCACCCCGGGCTCCTTGCACAAGGTCTTCCAGCTCCCGTCTACCGCCAGCCTCGATGACATCGCCGGCCGCTTCGAGTCCGGCGTGCTCACGCTCACCGTGCCCAAGCGCGCGTACTCTGGTGTCCCCGCGCCGACGAGCATCGAGGAGATTAAGAGGGATAAACCTGGTGTGGCCAAGGAAGACGTCAGGCCGCCGCCAACCAAAGACGTCGACGGCAGCGATAAGAAGGCGGCCAGCGGCGACGACAGCACCACCAAGCCTAAGGAAGAGATTGCCAAGGAGGAGGATGTGTCCAACAAGGCCATGGACGAGGCCACGAAGAATGCTCAACAGCAGAAGCAACCGGAGGAGGCAAGCAACCACAAACAAGAGGAGCAAAAGCTAGCACCAGAACCAGAGGCGAAGAAGGAGCAAGAAGTGAAGCCTGAGGCTCCCGAAAAGCCGGCGCCGGAGCCGGAGGTTGCCATCGACGAGAAGGACAAAGCGGTGGTTGACCAGGAGAGCCTGGCGGCGGGCGTGAGACGGCGCATCGAGGAAGAGAAAGCCAAGGCTGCGGCCGCTGCCATGGAAGCCAAAGCGGTGCTGGAGAAGAAGGCCACGGCGTGCAGCGGCTGGAAGCAGCGCGTGGCAGGGGGGCTGGAGCAGCTGACAGACATGAAGTGGGCTGACAGCGTGGTGGAGAAGGCAAGGAACAACAAGGAGGTGGTCGCCATCGCCATCGCTGCTTTCTCGCTCGGCTTCTTCGTCTCTCACAAGTTATTCAGGAAGTGAGCACCACACATACAAACAATGGGTGAATATGTGCTGGAGTGAAAATATATAGTTGTGTGATTAAAGTGTACAGACATAACAGAACAAACATGTAAATACATTTGTGCAAGTAAATTAAAGTACGTACACTGACACTACAAACATAAAGTCAATCATTATATCTTGGCTACAACCGAAGTAGGCGAAATCTTGGCATTTCCATTGGTGAAATCTATCAGAGATTACAATACTCGTGGCACATACGGAGCAAAACTCTCCTACAGTTTATATGTACATCTAAAACATGTTTTAGAGCACCTGCACCTAGGCCTTTTTATCTAGCCATTTATTTCCTGCATCGTGATTCGTGTAAGTTTTCTTTTTTGTTTCTCTCATATAGAACATGTCTTGTAGTTCAAATCTTTGCAGAACAACAAAGTTTTCTAACTAGAATTTAGGATAAAACTTTTACATTTTTTGGTCGAACATAAATATACAAAATAAGTTTTGTTTGATTAAAAAAAATCCTATTTTCAGTATTTATGTCAAACCAAAATTTCTGAAAGATTTATCCTAGATTCTAGTTAAAAAGCTTTGCCGCGGTGCAAAGGTTTGAACTTCAAAACATGTTCTATATGAGAGAAGTAAAAAAGAGAAAATTTCATGTAGAAAGTTAGTTGTGTCGCACATATCTTAAAGCGACATTGAAGAGTCAGAATAGCAGGGCCGGGGTGTAGGTGCTCAAAAAATATGTGTCTGTATGTACATATATCCATGGTTGTCGGCTGGCCATCACCGTTTGCGATGATTCATTGCATTTGGGATCATGCCTTCATGCCACTAGGAGAAGGAAGAGGAGAAAAACCCCATTTACACAAAAAAGTGCTCAAACCATGGCCCATGGTGGGCGAATTTTGCCTACGTTCTCGACTCCTTCATTGCACGTGTACGTCTTGCTCGTTAAGACTCTGTCATATTACTTTTGTGGATCTTGAGTCCAAGACCTTAGCTAGCTCATGGACATTGTCTTGTGCCGAGCAATCGTTGTTGTCCGTGTCAAGGAAGAAGAAAGGAGAAGGAAGACAAAGATGATGAGAGGCTTCCATGTGGGGTCAAGTTGGTTTCTGAGAAAAAGTTTAATTCCCCAAAAACAATGACTTTTGGGGATAAGCAGAAGGTTTGGGGATTAAGTTTAACGGGTCAGCTAGAGATGCTCTTAAGTCCGATGGTTGGAAAATTTTCCTTTATTTCAGAAGATCTTCATGAATTTCAAAATTGTTCCCAGATTTAAAAAAAATCATGAATTTTTTTAAGAATTCTAGTATTTCTAAAAATGCTCTAAATTTGAAAAAAGACCCTAAATTTCAAAAATATTCCCTGATATAAAAAAACATGTATTCGCAGTATGTTCTTGGATTTCAGAAAATGGTCTCAAATTTCAAAAAAGTTGACACATTTGAGAAATGATCCCACGTTTCAAAAAAAGTCCATGTTTAAAAAAAATCTTGAAATTAAAAAATGAGAAAATAAGGAAAAAAACACAGATAAAAGAAAG